CGAGAGACACAGGCCGAAAACCTGATTTCTGGCTGCTTGATGCCATTAGGAGGGTAGCTGACTTGGCTGTGAATTCTCCCAACATAAAGTCTTTGCGTTTCAGAAATCTTTACTACGTGCTGGAGAAAGAAAACAGTTTTCCATTCACCTAGCCTATTCTATGAGTGTCTTTCTGAGCTGCTCCATTCCCTGTGTTTTTAATACAGGGTAATTGAATGGAATTGAATTTATTAGATTTCTATGTCGCCCAATCCTGGGGGACTCCGGGCCACTTACAGAATGAAAAGAAATTAAAAAAACTTAAAAACAATAGGACACACAAAGTTAAAAAGAACGAAACAAACACCCAATCAGAAGGCCTGCCAGAAAAGCCAGGTTTTAATGGCTTTGCGAAAGGCCGTGAGAGTGGGGAGGGCCTGGATCTCTGGGGGCAGCTTGTTCCATAGGGCTGGAGCGGGAACAGAGAAGGCCCTACTCCGAGGCATCGCCAGCCGGCATTGTCTGGCTGATGGCACCTGGAGAAGGCCCACTCTGTGGTCGTTGGGAGGTATGTGGCAGAAGACGGTCTCGCAGGTATCCGGGTCCTAGGCCATGTAGGACTTTAAAGGTGATAACCAGCACCTTGACTCATGTTCGGAGACCAATGGGCAGCCAGTGCAGCTCGCACTGGCTGCCTTGACTAACAGTTCATTTAGCGACTGTAAAAAAGAGACCTATGACCCTTTTTCATTCTTACGACTGTTGCAGCATCCCCATAGTCATGTGATCAAAATTCAGGCATTTGGCCACTGATTCATATTTATGTCCGGTCGCATTTTTCCCCTCGATCTGCTTTTGTGACCTTCTGACAAAGCGAAGTCCACGGGGAAGGAAGCCAAGATTCACTTAACAACCGTGTCACCGGCTTAATATCAACTTAGCCACTGTGGCAGGAAAAGTCGTAAGATGGGGCAAACTCGCTCGACAAACGTTTCAACCAAGCAACATGGTTGTAACTCAAGGACTGCCGGTATAAACACAGACTTACCCCCCAAAGAGTTTTAGAGGGCTTGACATTCGAGTCTACATTGGCCTGAGCTTGTAGCTGGCTGGGTGTGGGGGTTATGGGCTGGAACCCCAGACATAAAGATGGACTTAAGTTGGAGGAAACAATGGCAATCCAGGTGCCCAGATTTAAACTAAACCTTTCTTCTTACATTCTTCCACTTATTTTTTTCACCCCTTGGGAGTTAGTGTGTGTGTGTGTGTGTGTGTGTGTGTGTGTGTGTGTGTGTAGGGGGAGGGGGTATGGCAGGGCTGGTGCCTTTAATTTCCCTCCTTCTTTTGATGTTGAAAAGGATTTGCATGAGCTGGAAAAGAAATATGCAGCCATCCAGGATCATTTTGAGCTGGCAGGAGGATGGGGGGGTGGGGGTGGGATCTGAATGGCAGTGGATTGGGGTGGGGGAGAGAATGCTTTATGGAGCACTGAATTATGGGGCGTCCACTGGTTTTATTCACGATGGAAACCCCACCATTCATAAAATAATAATTCAAGGGGACAAGCATAACTGCCTCTTATCCCCTCCTTATCCCCAATAAGGACTATGCAAAGGAACAAATTCAAAGTCATGGCTGAATGTGGATTGACCACTATAACCAATACACCTTACTGCTTCTCCTTTAGAAACCCCTTTTAATTAGGGGTGGGTGAGGCCACCAAATTGTGCTGCCTTAGTTTGAATTGGGGCTTATGGCTGGTGTTAGATATTCTTGTAGAGTTGATTAAGGTAAACAAGCTGACTTCAGGGCTTCTATTCACTTGGTGTGTGAAATAAAACAGAGCAAAATAAAGGAGGAGAGGAAGGAAGGAGGGAGGGAGGGAGAAAGAGAAAAAGGAAAGGAAGAAGGAAAGGGAGGAAAGGAAAGGAAAAGAAAGATAGGAAAGGAAAGGAATCAGCCTTGGTTATTTTTCTCTTTCCAAGCAGTGTGTTTGCACATTCTGCTTTTTTTAGGAATAATTTTCAGCTAACTCTTACATTCCATATCTTGGAGGTTCGAGGTAAATGATCAGAAAGACACTGTGGTTAGAGGAGAAAATCAGTTTAACTCTCTGATGGAGAGCACCAAAACCTCACACTAATTTCCCCGTTATTCGGGTTTTCCAAAGGCATGCCTTGTTTTTAACAGTTGCCTATAAAACTCAGCTATTTAAATGAACTTTTGTTTTGTTAATTAGAACATGCTTCCTTTTAGGAAGGGCTTGCCTTGAGATTGCTTGATTTAAAAAAAAATTGCAAAATGGCCCTTTTTATCATTTTATGAACCCAAAGGGGAAAAAAAACACCAGAGTTTGTAGGTGAATTTAAATCCCCCCCCTTTCTCTGCTGACTTTCTTTTTAATGGGTCAAACTATTTACCAAAGGGGTTCCTTCCACTAACCTCTTGCTCTCCAAGAAGAAAACTACATTCACACATCATGCTTAACCCCATGCAAGCTTAAGTTACGACACACCTGGGATCCCAATTCCCGTCAGTAGGCAAGGGGGCTGCTCAATGAATTGAACCCAGGTTTATAACCTTGTCTGCTAATGCAAATCATTGCCGTTGTTATGTGAATCATACAGTGGCTGCTATGCTAACCCAGCTTTTAATTGATTTCGCTCCTCCAAAGCTGGCTGGGAAACTCTCAAAAAAACGGGAATCAGGGGAGCCCCAGATGTCACAACTTCACATGCGCATGTTGGGTGCCAAGCACCCAGGTTTTTATCACGATGCTGCAAATGGTCGTTAAGTGGGGGACTGATCGTAAGTCACATTTTTAGTGCTGTGGTCAACGAATGGTCAGAACTTGGGAATGACCTGTCCCCTATTTCATGGATTCGCACTGCAGAGCAAATCATAAATTAAGCAACACCCCAAGTGATGCATGCAAAACGCCAGAGATAACAATTTACCCAAATTTCTCCTGCTGTGGGAATGCGTCCCGTTAGGTCTTTCTTTGGTTTAATAACCTTCTTCTCTACCTTCTCCTTTTGCTGTTCTTCTGGTTCGAACCTGGCTTGTTTGTATCTCAAATGTACAGAGGCTATTTGTAGAGACCGTTAACTGCCATGGGTCTAGTAGTGTGAAGTTGTCACATCTGGGGCTCCCCTGATTCCCAAGTAAGTGTGTGTGTGTGTGTGTGAGAGAGAGAGATAGAGAGAGAGAGGGAGAGAGAGAGGGAGAGAGAGAGGGAGACCACATAAAATAGAGTACATATCAATGGGGACAGAAGGACAGGGACAATAGGCACGCTGGTGCGCTTATGTGCAATCCATTAGGAACCTTTTAAGAAACACTTTTAAGATCCTCAGTAGACAGTTTAAATTAAAAGGTACGGAGGGGGGGGGCTAGAAGGACTAACAACAGGATGAGGTAGGGTGTGATTTACTAATCTATTGCTGAAATCGTTTCCCCCCCACTGCAATCAAGATTAGAGTGGATTAATATTTAGTTTGTATCGATTGGTAGCCCTTGTGTTACTGCGGCTGAAGTAAATGTAGTCCTTAACAGAGAGTGACAGGCAGATGGGGGAAATTCCTGAAAAGTGTCCAGGATGTCCTGGAAGGAGGACTGGACCAAACCAGAGACAGCCAGTGCCAGCTGGAGGGTTTTTTTGGTGGTGGTGGTGGGGGAAGCACACATACACTTGCGTAAAACACGATCCTTTGTGCCCCTTTTCTCAAGCACAGCCCCACAGTTTCCAAAGGTGGCTTGGAAAAGGCGCAAAACAAGAAC